AGAAGACAAAAAAAAAGAACTGACTTAATGGTTTTCCGATTTTCAGGTGAAAACTAATGATTCTTTATTCTTCATAATTTGTTTTAATGTTTTAAACCATATAAGAGTTAGAATAAAAAGATTGAGTGTGTGGTTTTGGTGCATATTAAAAATAGAAGTCATGACAACTTCCTTAAATGCTTTCAGTTCCCAATCTTCAGTTCACAGACCTTATCATCTATTCATAAGATGCTGTTTTATAAACTCTCAAGTATGTAACCAAAATTCTTCTTCTTGATACTTAATGCTAAGCGAACGGTCCATACCTTAATGCAAACATCTTTAAAATTGCATTTGATTGCTCTTTTCATCTGGGTGTAGGAGGACATTTTTGTAATGCAATAAGTTAGAGAAGGACGTGCTTATATGTTTGTGAATGCCATGGAGTAAGACTTATATGGGAAATGTTAAGTTGTAGCAATTATTCCACTGAAAAAAAGGTCAAATTCTGGCTCATGGGTGAGAATTAATATATTTGTTTCATATTTGTTTCCCTGTGTTAATGTTATTATGCTGGTAAAGTTTGTTTTAACACTGTTATATTTTTTGAGATTTGGATATAACCACATCATTCATTTTCATGGTAAAACAGTGTTACTGTTTATTAGTGAACATGTCCTTTTAGGGCATAATATCAATAGAATATAGTGTTTCTGCTCATATAAATACATTTTTAAGCTTTGTTGGAATCACACAGAAACCAGTTGTAAAGTGCAATAAGTATGTTGCATTTACATAGTTTCTATGTCCCGTGTTCTTCCAACAAACTAAATAAATTAATAGAATAAAATGTATTGTGATGTATCCAAGTATGCATATTTAAGCTCAGACATATTTGTACCAAACACCAAGTACAAACAACTCCAACATCACTTGTATTAAATGTATACTTTATGTGACACTTTAACCAAACAGAATAGTGTATTTTTGTAGTATGATTCATTAAAGCTGTAAGTTTCCCCCCCAACTCATAATCATTTAATTTATTCTCAAATTAAGAGTCTGTGCAGATGGGGCAACAAGAGCTTCCACTTTGCTCAGATCAGGCTCCTAGCAGCTTCAGTGACTAAGTCATCAGGATGTGTATTCTCTTGGCTAATCTTATGCCACCATGGAGAAATCACGCAGCCAGTATGCTTTGCTGTGAGATTATGCTTGGGAATCCCACCTTCCTTTCTCCGTTTATAAGGTTGCAAAACACACATGAAATGTTTAATTTCATTAAATTAGAATGCATGAAATGTTTAATTTCATTAAATTAGAATGCTTTTTTAAAATGCTTTTTTTTTCACCTTTTTTTGTCTTACATCATTAGCCATGCTTGTAATCATTGTTGTGGTTGATGTATCCACTTGATAGGTTTGATGGTGAGCAATTGTATAGGCTCCAGGTATTTGAATTTTCCTACCCCAGAGATAGCTGTTTTGTAATATTCTGTTTATTAGTTTGTAGGATTGACAAAACACAACAGAGAACAGAGTAGTGGAGGAGCTTAACATTTTAATGTTTCTCTACATCCATGTCTTCCACAAAATGTCCTAAAAGGCAGGGATCCAAACATGTTATACATGGACATCCTTTTTATATGCCAGTAGTTACAATACAGTCGGTTATGTTTCACCATAAAATTCAATGTCTAGAAACACACTGGACATTACAGCCCAAGCAATATACATATTAACAAGAGAAATTAAATAAAGTGCTTAAATAATGTTTATTACAAATTCTCTTCTTTAGTTCAAAATGGCCTCCTGACTTTTATTTCTTTCCAACTTTGATTTGTTAGATTGTCATTATTCACTTATCCTACTCTTCTCTTTCTTGACAAGTCGAGAGCCACCTGGAGTGAACCTGTATCATAGAGCAAATCATCGTTTGCCCTTTTCTGATGCTCTATTTAATGCACAAGACTCTCTGTATCTGAAATGTAATGTATAAAACAAAGTCATATATATATATTTTCTACTGTCCTTTCAAGCACATGTATATAAGTGAAAATTTAAACAGAAAACCTATTGTGTTTTATTTTCTTGCCAAAGGTTAACTAAAAGTAGATGCTTTTCTTTGTTGGTTTTCTTAGATCTTAGGTAAATTCTACTTCTGTGGGGTGGGCAAGAGAAATGGCATTAACACACCTTTGATCTTAATATTATTTTTAAAGCTTCTATACACTGAAAAAAAAATCTAGAACCTTACTGCTATTGGCTATTTGCTACTCTTGGTATGTCTCAAGTTGGCTATTAGAGCGGTGGGTTTAATCCTAAATGTTAGTGAAAGTGTTGTTATTTTTGCTGATTTAATTTTATAAGCTTGTACCAAGGTTTTATGCTAGGTATGTATATTATATGGATGTAATTTTGTATCTGGTAAGCTCAGAGTTAATGATACTCGATTAACAATTTTGTTAAAACTGAAATAAACAGTGGTTAAAAATCCTATGCTTCTGCATTTTTTTTTTGTTGTGTCTTATTTTCTCAGTCTGGCATTGTCTGTGATTATATGCATTTTGGATGGTTTACCATAAACCTATGTTACTATATATGTTACAAAGTTGGGATCTCATTCTCCTAGTCTCTGACAGTTTTTTCATTGCTGAGGAATTATCTGAGACACTCCACATTCAGTCAGCCTGTGGCCAGATCTACCCTCATCACTGAAGTTCCATGATGCAACAGCAAAGTGCTGGAGCTATAGTAATGACAAGGCTCGCCCAGAGTGCAAGAACCTCTATACTCCCCCTAGCCAACCTTCATGGCCTCCCTGGAACAACATGCATAAACGTGATTGGTGAGTGTTTAATGTATGGACATGCAAAGAGCTGCCATCATTTTACATATAGGCAACTAGTGCTGATGTTTTAGAGTGTCACATCATCACTCTACAGTTACATGCCTTGCTGGAATGTCACACATTAACTTGCAAATGCAGCCTACTCCCTGAATTCCTTGTTAACCGTTAAACAAGGGTCTCAAGTTAACTGTAAAGGATAGAAGAATTTTAGAACCAGGGCTTCTCAGGAGCTCATTCTGGGCCCCAGCAAGGAGCAGAGCACCCACACAGACAAACCCTTATCCAACACTTACCTTGATACCCTAGGTGCTTTCTGTCTGTCTCAGATTACTTCTGCAGAAGTTCAAGCTGCTGGGCAAAGATTTGTGATCCTCACCAAATACTCTTAATCAGTAATACAAACTTCAACTATTCTTCAAATCACAGCTTGTGTTAAAGGGACACTAAGCACACAGATCATTTAATCTCAATTAAGTGGTTTTGGTGCAGTGACCATGCCGTTTCCCTCCTACAGTATCAACTATTGCCATTTCGGAGATACAGCAAAGTTTACATGGCAGGGCTTAACACGCCTCCGGTGGCTGTCACGCTGGCACTTGATGGTGCTTCCGCGTTCCGACCCAAGTTTTTTATGTGATGCTCTGTTTTCTTTTAAATGTATATTAATGATTTTGTAGTGTACAATCTAGTTTAGTTTAGTCCAGGCACAGCAAAGTATGTTCATTGACATAAAAAGTCAGAAATTAAAACAATAATTGCCAGGAAGCTAAAATGCGTGCACACAGTCCCAAGATATAGTGGGATACATTTATACAGTCCAGTTTTTTTACTTGCCTAATCTACATGTAAGGGAAAAGTAAATATAAATTATAAAATGGGGAAGTGCGTTTTAAATAGCAGCAATTTCCCTTCTGCGTGCTTTTTCTGTTATCAATTGGCAGTCTCATCTTGGTAACCTGCACTTCTTCCCAGCTATGGTGCAGCCTAAAGTTAATAGTATGACAGAGGTCATATAGTAGTAGTTTATCTGTAATGAACTTTTGTCTGAGTCCTTTTGGGGTTTTTATAACTTATATAATAGATGACGTGCAATGATAAATGATAATATATAAACCCATCTTTCTATGTGAGTTTTGTTATAGAAGCTGTCCAGGTCTTTGACTACACTCTGTTTTGGTTGGTAT